AGGAGGTTTCTATTCTAACTATCCACTGTTCTCAGTCAACCCTAAGAAACAAGTTAATTCATTGATGTCGTACTACCCGGTTCGTACTGTAACGATGTTAATTTATGCATGTTAAGTTAACTTATACAGTTGGTTTACATCCGGGATCTGGCATGTTTTGCGCGCTCTTCGCTTGTTGATGTACACTCGGCTTACAAGATTAAAACGTTGTGTTTGAGTGCTTTGGTGTTCCGTCATCCGTCTTAGCGAATACGTTACATGGTGCCAGAAGTGAAAACTAGTTTCTGCAATTGGTGCTGTCGAGGGATTATCGCTCAGCGAACCGGAAAGTGTTCTGGAGAGAGATTTGCTCGCACGCACGTGGTCGACCAACTCTGATCTGCGAACTGATACTGCCGTGTTTGGCGCTCGCCATTCATAACCTTCTTCACAACGAATAGCGGAAGACAAAGGTGACTGGAATCGTTTTGTGTTTTCGAAAGGAAATCTCTGCTGAAGGAATCTAGCTAACTTCAAATTACTCAGTATGCCACCGAAACCCGAAGATAGCGGCGCGTCTGTGCAAGTACAAGAAGCCGTCGCACAACCAAATCTGGTACAAATCCCGATAAACATCCCATTGCCCTCAAAGCTAGAGCTCATAGGAAACTTGGCGACGAACTGGAAGAAATTCCACCGTGATTGGAACAACTACGAAATAGCTGCACGTCTAAAAGACCCTGAACACCCTGCTGTAAATAAATCGCTGAGAACTGCCACACTGCTAACCTGTATTGGCTCAGATGCTCTAGATGTGTACGAAGGCTTAGAATTCGAGACTGAAGACGATAAGAAGGACATTGATATTGTTCTCCAAAAGCTACAGCGTTATTGTATCGGAGAGACAAACGAAATCTACGAGTGATACCGATTTAACAAGAGAGACCAAGAACCAAACGAGTCTCTGGATGCTTACGTCACGGCCTTGCGCACGTTGGCGAAGACGTGTAACTTCGGAGTGTTAGAGAACAGTCTAATCAGAGACAGGATTGTCATCGGAGTAAGAGACAATCAAGCTCGCAAGAAGCTCCTACAAGTCTCCAAACTCACATTGAAGGAATGCATTGATATCTGTAGATCCTATGAGACCTCAAGCCAACAACTGAAAGAAATTAATCAGGAGGAAGTCAGCGCCATTAGTCAGTCTCATGAAAAGAAACCTAGAGAAATTCGCTGCAAGTTCTGCGCCAAAACGCATGCCTGGAACAAACTTAAATGTCCTGCATGGGGGAAGACTTGCTCTAATTGTGGCATTCCAAACCACTTTGCGGTGGCCTGCAAAAACAAACCGCCTCCACCCAGTTCGGCCACATCCTCTAAACCTCCCACACCGAGACACGTCCGCAAGCCAGTACATGCAGTGGAGGATTCTGACTTTGACGAATATGTCGCCTGTGTTGATGTCAAGGAGCACGTCTGTGCGGTGGAAAATCCTGATCGTAAAGGCAAACTGCTTGCGGTAATGCCATTAAATGGTCATAGAGTCCCATTCCAACTGGACACTGGTGCAACAGTGAACATCTTACCTGAAGAGTCTTTCAAAGAAGTATATGGTGAAGGCAGCCTATCCCTGCTGGACAATGCGGACGTAACTCTTGTTATGTACAACAAAACTGAGGAGAAGCCGATTGGCAAGAAACGTGTCCAAGTTGTGAATCCCAGAAATGGAAGAAAATACAGTGTGGAATTTGTAGTTGTAAAAGGAAAAGGCAATCCTCTGCTTGACTTACGAGCCAGTGAGCAAATGCAACTCATCTCTGTGGTCCGACAAAACATCATGTCTATTCAGTCTGAAGAGCCTTCGCAGAGCAAAACACCACTTACAGCAGAATCTATCCTCAAAGAACAAGCTGATGTATTCAGGGGAGAAGGAAAGTTAGAAGGTGATCTCCACCTTGAAATTGACCCGAACGTACCGCCAGTTCAACTCCCAACAAGAAAGGTGCCAATCGCCATTAAAGAAAAGCTAAAAGAGGAACTGGATCGTTTGGAAGGCCTTAACATCATCACACCAGTAAATGTTCCAACCTCCTGGATATCAGCAACTGTAGTCACTTTGAAGAAAAATGGCAATGTCCGACTGTGTGTGGACCCCAAACCACTTAACCAAGCCCTTAAACGCAATCACTACCCGCTGCCGACAATCGAAGATGTCCTTCCTGAGCTCTCAAATGCGAGGTGCTTTACTGTGTTAGATGCCAAAAATGGGTTCTGGCACGTGTCCTTGGACGAGGAGAGCAGCTATGCAACCACATTTGGTACTCCGTGGGGAAGATACAGATGGCTCCGAATGCCATTCGGCATCTCACCAGCCCCTGAAGAATTCCAGCGAAGACTGGATCAGGCATTAGCAGGACTGAACGGATGCAAAGCGATTGCTGATGACATCCTCGTATTTGGATGCGGAGCTGATGATGATGAAGCGGTAAGAGACCATGATGAAAAACTCATTGCTCTTCTCCAACGCTGCCGAGATAAAGGCATAAAGCTGAACAGGGAAAAGCTGCAGCTAAGGCTCAAGGAAGTCGCGTACATGGGCCATGTGCTCTCCGCTGACGGGCTACAACCTGACCCTGAGAAAGTCAAGGCAATCAGAGAGATGCCAACACCAACTGACAAACAGAGCATCCAACGCCTCTTAGGGATGACTAACTACCTGCAGAAGTTTGCCCCGAGACTTTCAGAGATCACGACTCCCCTACGTGAGCTCACTAAGAACGACAACGAGTTCCTTTGGGATGACCAAGTTCATGGTGCAGCCCTGGAAGAGACGAAGAGGATCCTTTCTACAACTCCAGTCCTAAAATACTTCGACCCAGGTGCCACGCCCACACTACAGTGCGATGCCTCTATGCATGGCCTAGGAGCATGTCTAATGCAAGATGGACATCCAGTCGCATATGCGTCCAGGTCCCTGACCCCCACAGAGATCCAGTATGCACAAATCGAAAAGGAGCTATTGGCCATAGTATTCGCAATGGAGAAGTTTGAAACCTACCTGTATGGTAGGAAAGTGCTGGTTGAATCTGACCACAAGCCTTTGGAAGCGATCTTCAAGAAAAGCCTCCTAAGCGCACCAAAAAGGCTACAACGCATGCTTCTTAGACTCCAACGCTACGAGTTTGAAGTTTCTTACAAAAGGGGACCCTCCTGCTTATGGCTGATCCCTGAGTCGTGCGTATCTGTCGCTTAAAGAAGCCCCTGAGGACCAGGAAGACGTCATGACAGTCTCAGAAACAAGGTCGCCAACAGAGATAGAAGCAGAGCAAGTAAACATGCTACAGTATCTTCCAGTGAAAGATGAAACTCTCTGTCAAATCCAAAACCTTACTCAAGAAGATGCTATTCTCAAGACCCTCGCTGGCGTCATTAAACAAGGCTGGCCAGAAAGTAAGCTCCGTCTCCCAACGGAAGTTCAAGAGTACTTTCCTTTCAAAGAAGAGCTCACACTTCAAAACGGAGTTATTTTCAAGGGAGACCGTGTTGTCATACCATTCCAAATGAGAGCTGAGCTCAAAAGGAAGCTACACTCCAGTCATCTGGGAGTACAGGCATGCCAGAGACGAGCAAGGGAAGCTTTCTACTGGCCTGGCATGTACAAGGAGATTGAAGAATATGTCTCCCAGTGTGCAGTCTGCAATACATACCACCAAGGGCAGCAGAGGGAGCCCATGATCTCACACCCAGTACCATCAAGACCGTGGCAAGTCCTTGCTGTTGACCTCTTTGAGCTCCGGGGCCAGGACTACCTTGTCACTACTGACTATTACTCAAATTTCTTTGAGGTCGACAAGCTTGTTACTAAGACATGGAAAGAAGTAATTGAAAAGCTCAAGCCTCATATGGCCAGACATGGAATTCCGGACAAGATAGTAAGCGATAATGGCCCCCAGTTCAGCTCGCAGGAGTTTAAGAAGTTTAAAGACTTATGTGAGTTTGATCATGTTACAAGCTCTCGCACTTACCCGCAGTCAAATGGCAAAGCGGAAAACGCGGTAAAGACTGCGCAGCGAGTCATGCTTAAGGCCTTAGAGGCTGGCAGTGACCCTTACTTGGGATTCCTTGACTTCCGCAACACCCCCACTGAAGGACTAGGAACATCTCCAGCGCAGCGTCTCTTTGGCCGCCGTACCAAAACACTCCTGCCTACCGCTGGCAGACTCCTGACACAACCTGAATTTGACACCACTTCCCAGCTTCTTCATGCTCAGAAGAACAAACAAGCCTTCTATTACAACAATGGCACTAAAGAACTCCGGCCACTTGAACCAGGGAGCACCGTTCGTATCCATCCACCCAAGTATAGGCATCAATGGACACAAGCAACGGTTGACAAACAAGTTGGTGTACGTTCCTACCAAGTAATTACTGACGACGGAAGGGTGTATCGCCGGAACCGCCGACACCTGCGTCTCACAGCTGAAGTTCCAAAACAATCACTTCCTGACATTGAGGTATCTAGCTCCGATCCTGGTCCCCTGCCCCTGACCAACGTTGAACAGGTACCACCAGTAGCTGAATCAATGCCCCAAGAGGTGGCCAAGCCACAAGCAGCACCAGGCCCTCCACCTGATGACATACCAAGTCCTGAAAGATGCAGCTCCCGGGGAAGAGTCCTACGAAGACCAGCATACCTCAGTGACTATGCATGCTGACACTTTTTCTATGTCGTTTATGTTCTTCGAACAATCATTATAGGAAACAATTCACGTTTTTCTTTCTCTACTCTTTCGTCTTTCGAATAACGAAGGGAGATGTAACGATGTTAATTTATGCATGTTAAGTTAACTTATACAGTTGGTTTACATCCGGGATCTGGCATGTTTTGCGCGCTCTTCGCTTGTTGATGTACACTCGGCTTACAAGATTAAAACGTTGTGTTTGAGTGCTCTGGTGTTCCGTCATCCGTCTTAGCGAATACGTTACACGTACCTCTCACTGAATTTCGTTTTTCAGGAAAAATGCTGTGGATATTTCGTTATTTTCTTGTCTGTGTTTCGGTCACCAACATTGTAATCGCTGAGGATCAATGCAGGATAGAAATTAACATTCGTGGCATGGCTCTCAAAGGTTTCGCTTTTGAGAGAATGACGGTGGCGGCTCCTCACATCTGTGATATCTTATGTGAAAGGGAAATTATCTGCCAGAGCTACAATTTCAACAGAAAAGAAAAGATCTGTGAATTAAACAACCGCACAAAGGATGCAAGACCCGAAAATTTTCGCTCAGACCCAGCATGGTTTTATATTCGCCGTTTAAACGGAAGAGGTAAGTACTCAACCAAGCACTTTCAATAAAAATCATGCTGCTTACAGTCCGTGTTTTCCAATCTCCCGTGCCCGTTGGTATCAATTGCTCTATCAAATTAAAATAGAAAATTTTATCCTTTTCTTCTTCCCTTTAAGTTTAAATATTTGTTAACTTCTTTTAAAAAAAGCAGCTGTGATACATGCAAAAACATTGACACCAAATGATTGTGTTATTTCTACAAGAAGCTTAGGGTCAGTAAAGAACTTTGAAGAATTGGAAGCTCGAACGAGGGCTTTATGCGAGAGGGGTCCTGTCTCCCTAGAGGGTTGTGCTTGACAGAACGTTAAAATATTTCACAACAAAAGAAGGAGATTCAAGTGAATGAAACTCGAGCTTCATTCCTATTCCCTCGTGCTTTTCACTTTTTCCTTACCATCTGCGCTTACGAATACTTTATTTTCAACATTTTTACCCGTACCAGCTCCCTTGGGTTCGATACCGGAGTTACCAGCTCGTTCATGCCAAGAAATAACAGCAGGCGAAGGGAAAGACACACCAAGCAACAATTACTGGCTGGATCCATCTGGCAATGGGAAGGCATTTTTGGTTTACTGTGATATGAATTTGGAAGGTTAGTCACATTTACCCCGTTGTAGCTTTCTTTCTTTGTTTGAATTGTCGCTCTTTTGGTAGCGTCCTTGGTTACTTTAAGATGTAAAAAAAATCACACCAGTCCTGAAAACAATGCATTGCGCAGTTTCAGTTGTATAGTAAAAAGGAAAAAAATATCCTAAAGGGAAAAAAAAGGCAAGCAAATAGACAAGGTTTAACCAACCTACATTTTTATAAAGTTTTGAAAAACATTCTTGCTTTAACTCTTTACACCCTAACATCAGTATTCATGTTCTCCATACTGTTCTCTGTACATTTAAAAAGGTGCTGACAAGGAGAATTTGTTTGACAATCAAGAGTTTCTTTAGTTGGTGATCATTTCCTTTATTCTTGTAACCTTAATGTTTAATTTAGGGCTGATATGGTATGGAGAAATTAGATGTCAGTCACTCTTAGGGCTTAAAGGGTTAATATTGCAGTCATTGTCCATTTTGTTGGAAGAAATGTAAACATTCTTTTTGTGTTATGTGGCCATGATTGTCAACTTAGTACAATGTACTGTTTTCCTGCTAAATTAATGTTGATTGAATTTTACTTTTTTCTTTTTTCACTCCCCAACAAGATCATGATGAATGCATCAGTGGAAACAATGCCTGTGACGTGAATGCATACTGTACCAACACTGTGGGTTCCTATTACTGTACCTGCAAGGAAGGATACACTGGCGATGGACGCTCGTGTTCAGGTACATTATTATTTTAATCATTAAATATGTAATTAAATTTAAAGATGTTTGGAGTGCTTGTACGCAAAATCCTTGCAAGAATAACGCAACATGCCAAGCTTGGTTTACAGACAGAGATTATCACTGTTTCCGTGTTAGTGGATCTGCATTTAAAGGCCATGATTGTGATGAGGGTAAGGAATCTTGTATTTTTAGTAAGGCAGAAAAATGATGCATAAGTGATAAGCTCCGCAGGCCCCTCTCTCAAATTGAAGTTCTTTAAGGTGATTGGGCAGACTTATTTGAAATGGATGAATACCAAACAACCGCAAACGCCTCAATAGTTTGATAGTCACAGAACATCGAAGGTAAAAGCCTTTGCCTTTCATGGCTTGCGAGAAGAATAATCCAGAATGGCATAAGTTATTCAAAATACAAAAGAGGACTTACATATGAACAACTCTTTTGCTTCTCATGGTTCATCTTGGAATGGGATTCATCACTCAAGACATAGATGAGTGTTTGAACGGAACACACGGTTGTGATATGAATGCTGAGTGTAACAATACCCTGGGATCTTACAAGTGCACGTGTAAAGATGGATTTCAAGGAAATGGAACCAAATGCACAGGTAACTAGTTCTGACATATTCATACTCCGTTTGTTACCCTCAGTTTTTCAGATTAGTTAGAAAAACGGTCTCATTTACATTATTTTCCTTTTCGTGTTCTAGATCTAGATGAGTGTATGATCGGAACACAAAACTGTAATGTAAATACTAAGTGTAACAATACCCTAAGATCTCACAATTGCACGTTTAAAGATGGAATTCAAGGAAATGGAACCAACTGCACACGTAACCAACATACCATACTCTCTATTTTCTCGATGGTACCTGTCATGTGACAAAAAGGAATGACCAGAAAACAAAACTGTTTTTTGTTGATTTAGATACCAACGAATGCACTGAAGGAAAACACGACTGTGATGTAAATGCTGAGTGTAACAATACCTTGGGATCTTACAAATGCACTTGTAAGGATGGATATGAGGGAAATGGAACCAAATGCACAGGTCAGTAACAAGCCAAGGTACCAAACAATGTTTTCACAATGAAAAAAAAAGTTAACTGTTAACTGTGAACAGACGCCGGCACGAGACTAGCAAAATTGCAGGGTGCTCTGCAAGTGAACATTATTCCAAAACTTTTGGCGTATTGATAATTTAGAGAAATTATGGCCTGTTATCATTTGCGAGGGAGGAAAAAGGACCATAAATTGTGATAATGACCAAAGAACTATCGACGTTGTGGATGCAAATTATGGTAGACTGGACTCAAACACTTGCCATCATTCCGCAGTTAGCGATACAAACTGCAAAGCTGAGAACTCTCTTTTCATTGTGCGGTTGAAGTGCAACGAAGAAGCTAGTTGCCAGCTGCATGCATATTCTTTAGTTTTTGGGGATCCATTCCTAGGCACATATAAATACTTGGAAGTCAAGTACAAGTGTGTGAATTTAGGTTAGTACCTATAGCTATTGTTGTATGCTGTGAACTGGGGGGAGAAATGGCCTTTTGCTACCATTTAGGACGCATTTATTTTAGAATTGCATTAGGCGCTAGATCACCCGTCCATTTTCAGTCGGGGGCGTATTAAAAAAAGATACGCAAAGAAGCAATCGTTAATATAGTCAGTACTCAAATATCAAATCTTTTTTCGAATTAATACCTTTACACTTTTATCAAAGACATGGTGGATAAGTATTCATTTGTTTCCGGGGTTTCAGTTTCATTTTGTCTTGAGTGGCGCCCGCAAAAGCAAAGGAAAACTCGACAAGGTGGTCTAGGATAGATTTTATGCACTAGGGAAAAAGTTCTGAACTGCCGTCTGGTCGGTGAACCCTGGGTGGATCATGTGTACACCAAAGGAGTGCAAACTGACAATTTTCAAGCCGTATGCAGAAAAATTCAATATTAGCATGCCAGACCATTTTCCTGCATAAATAGTGAGATAAAAAAGGTTCAATTCAATAATTCTGGATCGCACCTTCGTGTACGTTGCTGATGAGCACTGCCGGCTGAACTAGAAGCAAATGAAAATTTAGAGGTACCCTCTGTCTTGACTCCTGGGTAATCATTCAGTAGCACAACGAGATAGACTTATTGTATACATTGAAGAGCACTACTACATTGAAGGTCCACTAAGACCGAGCGAAAATGGAAATTCGTCGTACATCTCGAAAAACCAAAATTCTTCATATTTTCTCTGACGATACCCTATAGTGGCTTGAGAAACGTGATAGGATTTTTCTTCCAGAAATATCTTGTTAAACCTTCATAAAATAAAGAAGCCGTCACGAGCCAAAATGTCCTGAAAGGCATCCGAAAAATACGTGATTGTTACCTTCCTATAGAATTCGCCCTTTTGAATTCGCATTATAGAAAGAACCGTTTCCTGCTTTCAAGTCTTTGCAAGTAACTTGACTTCAATCTTACGCCAGTGAATAAAATTTAGAGGTCACGGTAAGCCGATGAAATTAACTAAAATTCACCTTCGAATAATTTGTAATTTAGCGTGTTTTTTTAAGGGACATTTTTTGTATTCGGTAAAACATTGAAGAACTTGAAATTGATATTCTTAAGAGATTAAATGCTGGTCTAAAATGGGGTGTAAAAATTAGTTTCGCGCTTTTTACCAGCGCCGGGTAGGAAGCCTCTTTAAATAGCGGTTATCACAACAAAAGCGTGTCAACCAGAAGTCAACAAATAGCACATCCTCCAAGCCCGGAAGCAAAGGATTGTAAAATTTTTACATTATAATTGATCTGTTTAGTCGTCCTCGCAAGGCGACTGCAGTTTTTTCGATGTAAGGCTTCTTGCGACTAACTGTTACATCTGAAAGGTCAGTGTTAACCCAGGTGGTACTCCCATATAAAAATGACAGGAGTGCTCGTCGGAGAATTTCGAAAACACCCCTAAAAGGTACCAAAATAGTGTTTAACGGGCGTGGCCCAGATTCATTTTGATGTACTAATAATTCCAAAAATATAAGTTATTAGCGCAAACACACTCACGGCCTTGTCATTTTTCAGAACGATAACCTTAAATTCCCCTAAACTGCAGGAACTCTAGCGGCGGTTGTTAGTGACAAAAAGCAGGAGCCAATGGGCTCCTGCAAAAAGCTAAGAGCCACAGAATATCAACTCTCGCTTCAACAAGTAGAAACTTGGTTTAAAATTTATATGGCCGTATCAAGGAAGAGCGAATGAATATTATTATTTTTTTGTGCCCTCGATTTTGTCTTGTTTAAATTAAACGGGGAAAATGTTTTTTACCTATGTGGATTAGTTTTATCGGTGTGAAGATCTGTGGCGCTTTAATTTCTGCAATGTTAACGTCCTCTTTGTTACGAAAGATATGTTATTTATTCACATCACCCCCTACATTTTGCAGTTCATCTCCGTGCAATCAGCATTCGTGTTTCAATTTGGTTCTTTTGTTTCTGCAACAACGTACCAAAATTTTGTAACGTAATTAGTCTAACTATTTAATTGCACCTCGGCCGCTTGTAGGAATATTGTTGCGTGATAGGTAAATTTATTCATAATTACTCACTAAGGATCTGAATGAAGGAAAATAGCAATTCGCGGGGTATTTTGTCTGAGCTATTGTAGGTTCACCGTTATAAGATTGTATTAATCAATGTTCATTTCATGGGAGGTAAACGTGTAGCGAAAGTATGTAAGACAATTTAAAAGAGGTTCTAAAAATCTTGTAGGACGAGTTAAGATTGCCATCGATCGCCTTTATTGACCTTTACTCAGGCGGTTAGTTATACGCCGACATGGCTAGAACTAACCTGAAGTATAAAGAAATTTTTCTTCAAGATGAGCTAAACGTGACCTTTCTTTTGTACGTTTTCTTTCTCAAGGAAAAAAGGATTAATTTACAAGTATACAAGTATTTTGTTGAAGGCATACTTTTGTTGTTACCAGTTGTTGACAGTTAATTGGCGTGATTTTCCCAATTTTTAAAGCCATGGTGCTCGGTCCTCATTGAAAGCCCGGAAATGAATTATATACCTGCTTTTATAACAACATTTCCTTTTCCAAGGATTCTAAATTTCAAGCGATTCAGAGCTTTACCGGGAAAAGAAAATGTCGCTTTAAAAAGTGAACGAAATAGAGAATTTTCAGTACGAGTACACCTGATGTGGACAGAAGCCAAAATGTACTCAGATTATGTAAAATGGAGAATATCTACCAATGGCGTGTGAGCAATTTAAGGTATATTGAGATGTTACGACTCTCTTTTTTTATTTGGTAATTTTAGATTTTCTTTTGTTTTAAAATAGATTTACATTGTCAAGGAACACTTGGTATGGAAAGTGGTGCAATAACCGATGAGCAGATAAGTTTCTCATCCCGAGAAGAGAATGAGGCGAAAATTGTAAGATTACATCACACAGGGACGACTTGGATAGCTGATCATGATAAGAAGGATTCTAATCATTGGCTTCAGGTCGATCTCAGGGCTCAAAACACTGAAGTAACACGAGTGGCAACACAGGGATCCCATCAACATAACAAATGGGTGAAGAAGTACAAGCTACAATACAGCAACTATGGAGTGAGATTTCAAAACTACAAGGAACAAGGACAAACCATATCAAAGGTAAAACTCATCAGAGGTGGGGAAGGGTTCTAAAACATGAGCTGCTCATTGTACACAAAGCCAAGTTCATTCCTCAACTTAAACTTCCCAATGTGTTCTTTGAGTAGTTTGCTAGGACAAACAATCCTCTTTGCAATCAGATCAGCTTCGTTTCTCGATTTGTTATGATGCATGAGTTGGCAGTTTTTCAAGAAATTGTTACGATGTATGAAAATTTCATACATTTACCACTTTCTTTGCCTAGGTACAAATCTCATCTTGATCCAGTTTTTGATTACCCTTAGATAGATATTTGCAGAAAAATTTCAACTTAATTTTACCGTAGGGTGGCATGGGATGAATTTCATGAATCAAATCGCTCGTGAGATATTTCACTATTTACCCAGTGAAAACATTGCATAATATAATTACAAAGATTTTATTTTAAAAAATTACCATGTATACGAAGCGGGCACGTACCGCGCATTTTGAATAAAAACACTCAACATTTATTTCACATATATTATGATGCAGGAATTTGACGGAAACAAAGACAAGAACAGTGTTGTTTATCACGACCTCAATCCACCAATCATAGCAAGGTGCATACGTTTTCTACCAGTGGAGTGGAAAGGTGAGATATCAATGAGAGTGGAATTGTATGGATGCATAAAAGGTAAGGAAAATGGCTTTCCTCTAAAGTTGATAATCATTGTATACATCACAGTTGATCTGATCATAGGAGCTCTTTAAGGTTTTTCATTTCGTTGAAAGTTTCTGTGAATGTGTTAACGACATTTCTTAGCTCAGTGTAAACTACGCTTGATCAATTGCCTCATGATCTCATAGCTTGCCTTTATTTCGCTGCCGTAGATAACTTATATTTGTAAAACGTCTGCCGACTTTCTGTAAACAGAATGTGGAAGATTTCTCGGCATGCAAAGCGGTGAAATCTCTGACGGACAAATAAGCGCCTTTTCAGAGAGAGACTCTAACCACTCCGCCAGTCAGAGCAGACTTCATGTTATAAATCCTGACAGAGAGGGATCTTGGGCAGCTAAAAATGATGATACGAATCAGTGGCTACAAGTGGATCTGGTTATTCTGCACACTATAGTGACACGTGTGGCAACACAAGGAAGTAATGGACCCAAGAGGGAGTGGGTTACAAAGTACATCCTGCAGTACGGCAACGATACAGAAATGTTCTACAATTACACAGTCCCAGAACAAAACACAATGAAGTTAAAATTGATTTGTTGTGAATTGATTCCCGTTTAAACAGGAAAAGAAGTATTTTTGGATGATCATTGGCAGGGGTTTTGCTAACGCACCGCCAGTAATAATTGTTGCCCCCGCAGGGTTTTTTGGCCCCAGAGGGCCAAAAACCCGAGGAGGCACCTTAGGACTCCCCGCGTAATATAGAGGAAGACTTGAGAAGAGAGAATGTAGGTATTTTCAGTAGATCATGACCAGAAAAAATCTCAATTTGATCGCTTGCACGGCCGCAAGGTATCAACGTTTTTCCCGCAAATGGTCATGGGCGGCCAGCAAAAAGACACGCGCGCGAGGACTTTTGGGATCGGCGTCTTTGACACGAGCTTTGTCCTTGTCGAGATTTCGAGTTAAGCGTCCGCGTCGAGAAGCGTTTCCAAGTCCAACGGTAATTGTGTATAGCATCTTTCTAACAATTAAAGGTAGTTTTGAGTTTAAAAGGTGATCAGAATCCGTCAAAAGAGAAACGGTTGTGTGAAGTCTCGATCGAAGGCGGCGGAGGGTCCACAGCTCAGTCAGCTAACGTGAGAACTTAAAGCAAAGAACTTACAGTATAATTAAAGTATAACCAGATATCAAATACATGAAAAAGTTGAGCTTCTAACTCGTTTGCTTTGATGTTGGATTATTCTCAGAGTTTTAGAGTTTCTTCGGTCGGAGTCCACGCGACCATCAAAGTGTGAAAGGCGCGGAGAGTGCTGTTTTGTGCTTAAAAGCTGTCTTGACTCATTTGTGTTATACAGAAGTTAATACAGAAATAATTTCACCGATGCTCAGAAGACGGTGTAAGTTTAGCATTTTGACCGAAAGACTCGGTTAACTCCGATTTGTCCGCCACAAATCAAGCTTATTGCACAAAGCCGAAAGACTCGGCAATTTCTGGATTTGTCAGAGGCAAGTCTGTTATTGGGCGCGAAGGACTCGCAGCACAACTGAAAGTAAACAGTAGTCAAAGAAAGGAAATTACTGGTTGTAATTGTAAATTACAGCAAAAAAAAACATCCCAAGCACTTCGCAAAACTACATTTTGTACACTTGTAGTATTTTGAGATCCAAAATTACTAAAACCAAAGTATTGAGCCACAATTCCGTAACAACATAACAGAAAAATTACACAACTGTAAACAACAAGCCCAACTAAAAAAAAAAACAAAAGAAAATGGTACTGTAGGGCGGGGGCAGCTCTAGTGAGAACTATAAACTAGTATAATATCGAGGCCCCCAAGAGGAAAGATTGGAGGAATGGTGTATGATTGAGTTGGGGGACTGTTGTCACATCGTAATAACTGTTATTCATAAAATTAATTCTTATCAAAGATTTAATGGAAACCTCTTATGTTGTTACTTCAAAGGTTTTTGCTGGAAACATTGATCAGAATACCGTGGTTTATCACGACCTTAACCCACCAATCACAGCGCGTTACATTCGTTTTAAACTAGTAGAGTGGCAGGACTGGATATCAATGAGGGTAGAGCTGTATGGCTGTGTACCAGGTAAGGCCTGAATGACAATTACGATGGAGCGTTACCTCTTGTAACGAGTAATTTATACCAGATAATACTTCATTTCCTGTTCAAAAGCGAGCGCTTGGATATTGTTTGCTGTGTGTCATCTCAATCACAATCGAGCTGCTACAAGTTGACGCGAGTTTTCTGGACCAATAACAGGGCGAAGAGAGGCAAAAAACCAATAAAATCCTGGACAACTCGTTGTAATCATTTGAAAATTGCTCTGCATAGTATTATTCAATTGACTTATCAGCTTTGGTCACATGGAGTTCCTTCCTTCTTCACTCTCCTCTTTTCACTCTCACGTGTGATCGCCGAACCACAAACTGGAATAATTTGACGAGAAAAACTACTCTAATTGTGGGAATGGGAAGGAAACCTTGTCTTCTCTTGAGATTTTTAGATTCCCCAACAACAAAACCTCGTGATGGCTCAACCGTACAGTTTATAAAAGTATCATGTCGGTATTCAAAAACACCATTTTGATTCAGGTCGGCAATCAATATGTTATTGTCGAATGTAATTCGTAGATGTAATGAAGTCAGTCAATGCCCGACTATCGAGGATTTCTACTTTCTAAAAATACAAACGTGAGCAAGCGTCGGAAAATGCACAGTACGACTTGTTCGAACACTCCAAGTGACTGACGTTTCTATTCCATTTTTTCGGTGATTTAATAATTTATGTAACTACAAGAATATTTCCTCGTAATAGTACCATCAGAAGTGGCAAAAAAAATTCTGACAATTTCTTACCAACAACGTTACTTTTATTTTATGGTTTTATGCAGGATTTACAGCTGTGTTTACAAATCTTGGTAAGATTGGATCAGAGGGTCCAAAGTCGATTGGTTGTCATTACAAAGATCAAGACCATGACGGACAAGTAACGGTGTCCAGCGGTATTCAACTGTGGACTGTGCCACGCACTGGTAAATACAGAATAGAAGTAATAGGAGCCTCAGGGGGGTACAGTGAGGACAGTTTTATCAAAAGCGGAGGAAGAGGGGCACGAATGATTGGAAACTTTAATTTGACCAAAGATGAGATCATTCATGTACTTGTTGGTCAAAAAGGGGGAAAAGGGACTTCAAACCTAAAAACAGCCGGAGGTGGAGGAGGTACATTTGTAGTGAGAGAAAACAACAATTCTTTGATTATAGCTGGAGGTGGAGGAGGAATTAAAAATATATCGGAACAACATCCAGGATGTGATGCGTCCATAAACACAACAGGGAATGGAGGGTATAACTTGCCACTGGGTTCAGGAGGAAGCAACGGAAATGGAGGAAACGCCAGTACAGAATATTCAGGTAGGTGGAGAAAGAAGAAAAAAACAAATAATCAGTAGGTTCAATCCATCAGGACAACAGGACGACAGTAAGATTTATCAGAACTTAATTATTGAAATTACTAATAGATCGTTTTCACTCACGTGACCAATTCCTTGACTACCGTTGCTACGCCGCCATATTGGTGTACCTCAATTGTAAACAAACTAGTAGCGTCCTTCGCGTGGAACATGGTTTTGTGTCTGATCGTTGGCTGTGGCAGCAAAAGTGGACGAGATAAAGGGTTGTACTTTGCAAGGGTGCCTTCTGTGGTCACAAATCAAGGCGAAGAGGCACAGAAACTATCCGAAGAAAGAAGATCGCGCTGGATTTCAGCGATAAGCCGTGACGATCTGACCGAAGAGATCTTAGAAAACGATCGTGTGTGCAAAAAGCATTTTGTTTCAGGAAGGGCAGCTAAGAGCTGGGATAAATTTAATATTGACTGGGTTCCGACATTGCTTTTGGGACACAATAAAGCTGATCGGGAACATGTTTCTCCGTTTGTTGCTTACAAGTCCCAGAACTGACCACATTTCAAGAGTTTGTCACGACTTTGATAAAACTTAAACTTGACGCACCACATCAAGATCTTTCATATCGCTTCAATGTCTCCCTTTCAACAGTTTCAAGGATTTTTTCATCCTGGATGGTAGCGCTAGATGTACGCCTGGCTCCACTTATCAACTGGCCTGAACGTGAGGATTTATGGCGAACTATGCCACAGTGTTTTAAATATTCATTTGGAAACAAAACTACCGTGATTATTGATTGTTTCGAAGTATTTATTAATAGACCATCAAATCTGCTCGCAAGAGCACAGACATGGTCATCGTACAAACACCATAACACTGTTAAGGTGCTGATTGGGATAACTCCACAAGGTACAATCTCCTAACCCAACATGAAATAAGAGAGTCGTTCATACGCTGGGAATGTCTCACCTTTGCTAAAACAAGAAACTTGTCGCGATTATGTGGCCTTGCACGCTTGCGATAAAACCAGAGACCATTTGGTTATATGCTTCAAGACTTCGGAAAGCTTTAAACTGTTTCTGAGTGTAGAAACTTGTCTCCAAGACAAGATAACACAAAATATCTGTGGATTCAACAGGAGGCAAACAGTCCGGCTTAAAGTCCTTCCCTTCGACTAAAACTGGATCAATTCCAATTGCCGCTATTTTCTGTAAATATCGATCTCTGACTGGAAAATCCAGCTGCTTCGCGTATTCGGATATCGGAAAAGAATAGTCGACCCCGCTTTTGTTCTGGGACTCTTTTTCTTTCTCTTTTGAATCCATTTTACTCGTGGGAATGATAGTTGTGGAAAAATAGGGGGATTACGCAATCGAAAGTGGTACACCAATATGGCCGACCGGAAATGATGTGACGTCACGTGAAAACGATCTATTCTAACTTTGAAGCTTTTCTTTTCTCGGAGGCACCCTTAAAATATCAGTTTTTTTAAAAATCCTACACATCACCTCATTTACATTTATTTTGTCCTGATAAACTGTTCTATTTCTAGCAATTGACCACCCAATAATATTTTTAAATAAACTTCTAAAAATTGAGAAGTGCACTAAGTAGACAACATTGCGAATCGTCGTTTAAACGCTCTTAAGTAAGTAATCAAATAGAAGCCATTTATGAGACAACTGCTTCTCAGTTTTCGTTTATTGTAGGTGGTGGCGGCGGCGGCTTCTACAGTAATGGAAAAAGTGCTTCGAGCGGTTCTGGTCGAGGAGGTAAAGGATATCTTCAAAGAGGAGAGGGTGGAGAAGCTAAGGGTGGGTTTGGAGGTGGCGGTGGTTTACGTGGAGGTAACCGTGGAGCTGGAGGCGGTGGAGGTTACTCTGGAGGAGACGGTGGAGCTAATGAAGAGTTTTCCTGTGGGGGAGGGGGAGGATCTTTTAACAGTGGGACAAATCAGCAGAATGAATGTTGTTTCAATAGGTATGGACATGGTAGAGTGATCATCACGTTTCTTCAGTGACATGCCCTTGGCAGCACTTTCTCTCACAAAAGAGGCTAATTCTGTTTTGAAGGCTGATTGTTGTTAGTCTTTAAACTCTGGAATTGAATAATATTTTGTTTTATATTCAAGGTCAGTTACTGAGCGCTTTAAGGTGTTGGCCAAACGGTGCAACCTGAGGAATTAAAGTCATTTGTTTTTTAGTTCAGATTTTAGATTTATAAACACAGTTTTCTAGAATATATATTTTTTCTGACCATCTCCTGACATAAGGATCACGCTCTCATAAAAACTGCTGTTTTTGTTCTTTTTCCGGCTCTTTTCTGAGCAATTTGTCAGATGGACATGTGCATCAATTGAGAACTAATTCACAAATAACATGCAGGTAATGAGGACTAATAAGTATTTTGTAGAGAAAATGTTGTGAACATAGTATTTCGTATTTTTTCTGTACTTCAATCATTACATATATTTAAGAATGATTTTCAACTGACTACGAGGGTTTATCAATTCATTTTTGTTGATTAAGTCAAAACCAAACTCGATTTTCAATTTTAATACGAACAGTTAGACCCAGTATCTTTGTTTTTCCGGCCGCTCTTTGGGCCGACTGATTGCATTTTTTCGCGCGACACAGCTTGCAGTTTTACGGCCATTGGCGCTGGTTACAAATTATCCAAAAAACTTTTATTTGATTCGGGATTTTTATGGCCTCATTTGTTGATTATCGACAGAATCCTCTATCTATAAATATTTTATCTTTGTTTTGGTTTTACAGTGATACTCTTGATTTAATGTTTCAAGGATCCGGACAGTAGAAAAAGAGAGCCGAAATATGGTGGCGAGGGCACAACTCCTATGCTTTGTGGTTTCACTGATAAATCTCATCAATGATTCGGTCTCGTTTAATACGTGAAAATACGTGAAATACGAATATAAATACGAATACAAATACGTGAAAGCAAAAGTAAGGATAGGAATCGAATATTATGTCATTATTCGGTGTTCTGTTTGAAAACCACGTCCATTCATTGGACTGGGAATACTGATACGCCTACAGAGCGAACTGGTGCCGTAATAATTGGTGTTATAATAGAGTGTGTGACCAAAAAGGCTCTCAGTCTGACCACTGATCAGGGCTCACATTGGAACAGAATTCTTTTAATAGCTTTCGCTGAAACTGTAAGTTAGATCGACTATGTGACGATCACGAACGTAGTCGTATCTTGGTTGATATCATCAATTTATAATTAGTCATTAAATAACAAGCAAGGAAATAGGACTAGCTAGTATTTTAAAAAGAAACTATTGTGAGTTCAGTTCTTCAGATTTCACGTGTTACATTATAGGAACGCTTATCAATTGACTGTAAGGGTTTATCATGTAATCAATTTGTTTTTTCTTCGTCAGCTCAAAACAAAAAGCAACTTTCAATTTTCATACTCACAGTTAGATCCTTGTTTCTCCTCCATTTGGGTCGTATTTTTCTGCGCACGACACAGACTGCATTTTTTACCGCGACCAGCGCCGGTTGCAAACTATTCGCGAAAAGTGTGTTTTACTAATTTGTGATACGTTTGGTGTCTTTTGGTTTTTATCATTGGAATACGTCATTTTTTTATTGTTTTAGTATTGGTTTTAGGATTTCCAGTCAATTGAAAAGGGTTCAGTTTCACTTCTAGCGGAATCCTGTAAAGTAACTGAAAAAAATTGCCCAGGGTTGATGCCAAATTGTCGATGTGGCCACTTTAAGTAATGTGTTTCCAGATGTTGATTAATTGAGAGGAGACTAACGAATGCTAAAACGAGATTCAGTCATTTAGGTTCTGTTTCCCTTTTCAGAGAGCAGGGCATAAAAGCGGTTATATATGCCAACGTGTTTTATATGACACGTTTAAGTTTACGCAAAACTTATTTACTTGTTAGATCAGAATGCTTTTGTCAACATTTAGAATAAATTTTTAGGAGGCTCTCACGCTGTTCCATGTAAAAAGGAGGAGAAAGGTGTAGTTGTAATAACAACTATCATTTTGCGTGAGTTTTCAGTCAGTAGTGTCAGTTTAAATTACTTTATGTTAAAAATCAATAAATTGGTTCCTAGATGTCAGTAATGGCTCTTTACTTAGTTGCACTTAAGTTATAAAATAACACATTGAGAAATAATAATACTTTATTGGGGGAAAGAACGTGGAAATATGTTTCACCGAAATACGAGAATCCTCAAGTTCAGTGCAACAATTTTCTGACCTTCGTTTTTGGTTTTTGGTTTATTTGCTTCCTTATCCTTTCAGTCTCTTTTCTTGCCTTACTTTCTCAACCCTCTTAACGTTGCCTCCCTTGGTTAGAGACGGAAGATTCACTTACGACTCACGTGGCCGTTGAATGGCCTTGAACACAGGCCTAGTGGATAGTGAATTGTAGATATAAGAGGCATTTTGCGTCCCTATTAACTCTGCAAACATTCTCAAAAGTTAAAGGAAATCTGGGATGTGTCCAGGAAATTTACCGAAATTTGCAGAAGCGGGTGCGGGGGTTGGGGGTCTTGCAGTGTCTGATGATCAATATGAGCTGAAGAAATTTCAGGGACATGACTGTTGCCACATTTTCTCAGATTCTCCTTGCATTAAAGGAATTGTTCAGAACCTACTGAAAGTAACCAGCTCAAGTTGCACCATGTTGGCAAGTATATAATTTTCGGGTAATTTAAATAAGAAACTAAAATCTTACAAGTTGGCGTCTTTAGGAAAAAAACCAAAATAAACTGTTTTTTCGACTCATATTTTTCCTTAAAATCTTTGTCCCGAGTATGAGTTGGAATTTTTGATCTTCAAAAAAAAATTGTTGAGCAAAGATTCGGGAAAAGACGTCAAGCACCCATTATCTCTCAAGTCTTCTTATCACCTCTGATCATACATGTCTATAGTTCAGTGATTATTATTGAAGAGAAGATTTGAATAAGTGTGAGGATAAAATCTTGACCCTTTTTCCATAAAATTGTACCAAAGCCCTTTCATATCCCGAAAAAAAGGGTAATTTGGGGCTTGAGCACTTTCAAGCCGAAGTCAAAATACACTGTAGTATTCGTGGATTTTGTCGTGTGTGGTTATATAAAAACTTGTCATGTTGATGGGGCTAATTATTCGCTAGCACAGTTTGAAAACAACTGAAACAAGTCGGTTCCTGTTATTACAATCTCTTGCAGAAAGGAAGTGATAATTGTTTCGCAATAAAAAATCCAACTTTGCTCGAAAGTTCTTTGAAAAGACGTGAAGTGAAGCATAGACGGGGCTTTTCATCTCCTTGGCCCTTGCTCGAGAAACCCGCACCCCCCGTCAACTTTCCCTGTACAACAATCTCATAGCGTCTGAATTAAAGGCGGCGGGGGAGGAGGGGGAGTCGGCACAAGACTCTTCTCCTCACATCGGTATAATGAGTTATTTCGTCTAAATACTTACTCTTCTTGCAATAGTATGGGATAACAAATACATTTTACAAGAGGCTCGTGAGTATTTTGTCATTTTACAACCCAAGTTTTTGAAGTAAGATGAATACAAAAGGATAAAATTTTAGGGTAATAGCTTTTGGAGAAGCCTAAAGGGAAAGTTTACCTCAGAGTAATTACTCACGTCTCTGCAATGCTGTTCATGAACGTTTTTGACTTTTCGATCCCATAGGATGCATAAGATGGCCAGTGGCGGACCTTTGTATTTTAAAAAGAAGTTGAGAGGCTTATTTAAACTTGACTGAAATAGCTCGGCTGGATCGACATAAAACCTGACACCGCTTTTCTACAGTTTCGAAATGAAATTAATTATCATGGGCCAAATGAAGATTTAAAGTAAAAAGCAGTTCTTTAAACCTTTCGCTGAAACATGTTATAGGTAACAGAGCCTAACTCTTTGTCACAATTTGGCCTTTAAGTTGATCTTAGTAATGTTTGTTCAAATTTCATAAGATCTAAATCTGAAGATTCGTGCATTTCCGGTCTTAATCTTTAAAAAGTATTCACAATCGTTAATATGCTTTCAAACTGATGCACCCTAAAAGGCGTGAATGTTAGAAGCTTTTTACTCCCTGATGCTTCCTACGCGCGCTGAATATCGATAAGATGTATAGATGTATATCTTGGTTTAGATAATTACCAATTTCGTAAAACTCGTAGCGATTATATTTTTTTCGTAAAGATTCGTCTAATAAGGCATAGCTTAGGCTTTTTCTGTCTTTGTTCAGAGTGAATACACTGAACAAAAATAACATTAACAAACAAAGAAAACGGAAGAGAACAAAAAAGCAACTATTCCAAATATATTTGGCCCCTTGTTTTAGGCAGAATAATAATCTAACCTGCATGAAGTGATATCGCCATAGCGAGTAAAATTAAGAAAGTATTCACATTTTTAGACAACATCTGTCGGTGAGTCTTATGTGTTCAGTAGATTTAATTTGGCATCACCGAAGAGATCACACTCCATGCAAGTTATTAAAAAACTGTCATGAATAATTTGCCACATAGGTGGTTTGTTTCTCGGCTACTAAGTATGGGTTCTTTACCAATGTGATCTACAACTGGGCATGACAGTAGGAATGAAATCTCTTTATTTAAAGCACCTGGTAAGGGTAATTATCTTCTACGTTATTTGGTTCTGAAGTGTTTTAAGGTTAGGTAGATTAGTTTTTGAATAGACACTGAATCGCAGGGAGCTTTGTTCGCTCCACAATAAGGTTTTCATAACTAAAGGGTGGTCGTGTGGTCAGTTATTGTTATTAAAAATGCCTGATTATGGGACAAATATTAATTTTAAGGGAAGCGCGATCATTTTTTCCCAAGAAAGGAAATGAAATTGATCTAAGACGCTGAAGACCGAAAACTATTCACCCGGGTTGTTAGTCCTGAAAAGTTTGGACTACGAAAGTACTCACTGAGAAAAACTCAAGAAAAACCTTGAAAGAATCAGGAAAATGTCGAGTGCATAATAAATAAGAACGTTGACTTTTAATTGAGGTTTAAAAGGGAAAAGAAT